TTTCAGAAACAATTTGTACTCACACAATCCTGGTAGTAGTATTAGATTAAACTCTTCATACCATTGGTCGTGGTGATCCGACCTTTTGTTATCACTTTTCTTCTCTTGTTTTCGTCCTGACCTTGTTATCTTTCTTGATTATAACTCCATTGGCGAAATTAACCTTTCTAAGTTCTATATAAATTATTCGACAAGTTCATGTATAGCGCTAATACATCACGTTTCAGATAATCTGCATCTTCCAATTATGTTGTTGAATAGGGTTTGCTAACCATTTTTATAACCTTTTTTCTTGTCTTTTTCAGACATTTATACCGGGACAACATTGAGGTAGATATTGGGGCAGACTGTGGTGCTCAGCGTCTCGTGCTTTTTGTGTGGGCGTTTCTTACTTATTGCCTGATTAATCATTCAGACGAGGTTATTGTAAGTGTGAAGCATTCTTAACTATTGTTTTTACAGGGTTCGCCATCTCTCCCGGATTGCAAAAAGCTTAGTGACAGTGAGCTGGGGGTCACGTAGAAGCGGCTTACACAATATTTACGAACTATTTAGAGATTAGTTGTTTCTTTAGTAATCTAATTAAAGTTCTACTACTGATAATTTCTTGGTTGTATTGTGTTCCCTGAGCTGGGTTGTTTAATTTCTTCTTTGCAAGGGTGTTGCTAGTGGCTTAAATCCCACGGCTGTTCAGAGTTAAGTTTAACGATTATGTTTATTGTTGATACTATTATCGATTATTACCACACTTCTAGGCTTAGCAGTTCTTTAGAATCCACTCCTGATACTGTCGATACACACTAATAGTGGCTGTTACATTGGTACCATGGTGGTCGGGCTTGCATATAACAATGACCCAACGAGTTGCAGTGGTTAGAATAATTGTTTCTTAAGGTGTGGCCTTGTGCATAGTGATGAGACAAAAAGCAGTTATTGTTATAACGTAAATTGCTACACAATGATACGTGTCGTACGGCTAGGTGGCCGATGTGTAATGAATGTAATGTATTTTCCACGGGTGATCAGCAGTGCTATACTGGTGCTGCTTTTCTGATGGGAAAGGGGTGTTATAAAAGCACATTTTTACCTGCCACATGGTCTTTTTATGCCGGTGCTATGTGATTTCCTACCTGGGATTAGAAAACCCAAGTCTCAAAGCAACAATACTCGGTAGGATGTGTGACAGGCCTCAAGCAAATTTCTTTTAGGCTCAGCGGTCTCCAAACGTTTCCTCCTTCATGTACTCTACAGAAGAATTTCACGGTGTGGCTGGTTGCGAAGTATCGGTCGTTCGCACGCTCCGAGTGGTATATAAAATCCAATCAAACAACCCACACCCCTTACTTCTGTCTCCTACGCTGCATTCAGCTCCTCATATCAATATTGAGCCTCTTACAATCTAATTGATACCCCACTCTGCGACCATTGCCAATGATCAATGCCAGTCTTCTAAGACCCAACTGTCAATTACATATTGGAGCTTTCGGTGCCTGAAGCCTAGGTAAACATCGCTCACCAGAACTGTAGAATTTCGCGCCATTTCTGTATACTGTATGTATACGCGTATGCAACACCGAAATGTAGTAAGTTATTTGGCGTCAAAACCTGATGCGCAGTGAATGTTAGTCAAAATAAGTTTGAACAAGAAGTTTGGAAACTGAATTGTGGTCAGGCAGAACATAGCAACAAGGATGAGTAGCAAATTACTTAAGAAGTGAATGGGATCGAAACAGAAAGATGAAAAGAAAAAAGGGGGGAAAGCGGAGACTGAAAGCTGAGACCATGTAAGGAGAAGCATATCAAACACTCTAAGGAGAACATTCTTTGCATCAACGTTTAGACTAGTATTCTCTTGTCACCCAACAATTTCTAACAACTCAAAGGAGAAACTTTCGCATCTGACCACCTCTACGTGCATATATCATATCAATTCACCCGCCATTGTGCAGGCAGGTATATAGGTCGTTCGACGCGATTGTTATCCACAACGGTTCAAGAACACTATCCTGCGTGATTACAATGGAGCGATAAGAAGCGCTATGATTGAACACATTATGAACACAAATCATTCTATCTCAAAACCTCCTCGTTTAAAGTCATCTCTGAAGTGAAAAGAAACCTACCAAAGGCTATATGTCTTCGTATTTTCTGCATTGCTGAAGCTCTTGCCATCCAAATGGAGAAGCCTGAACTGTGTACACAAAAGAAGGTTGTTCAACCCCTTCTCCTTTCATGGTCTTAGTTTTCAGTCTCCGCTCAAGTAATTTGCTACTCATCCTTGTTGCTATGTTCTGCCTGACCACAATTCAGTTTCCAAACTACTTGTTCAAACTTATTTTGACTAACATTCACTGCTCATTAGGTTTTGGCTTTTTTTGATTTTAATGACAACTCATTTATTGCCACTATTTGTGTTGCCTTGCTTGACAAACTGCTCTTAACTATCAAATCCTTACACTAGAAAAATGTATAAATTTGCGATTGTACAGCCTTGAAAATGAAATCGCTGAAATACTTGTTCTTCCTTCAAATCATCATGGGTATATTTTATACAAGATACACTGAGTGGTTCAGAAAGTACGTTACACAGGAGATTTAGTTTCTTGACGGAAGATAGAATAGGTACTTCTTAGTCTTCGTTTTCAGTGTTGATTTGTAACTTGCATGTGGACTGTAATACTATCGGAACACCAAGACCGAAGCGGAATTTTGTCTCAGGAGACCAAACTCCGGGCCTTTGACATGAAGCTCGATCGACAAGAGATGGGAAACGTAAATTGCTGCATTTCTGTGGTTACCGATCACCAACGTAGGTTCAAATACCACTCATTCTTTCTGCATCATGGATCCCAAGGCCACTACTGGTTTAGAATCAGGATTTCGAGACTCCCCTAGGTGAACCTTCTGCGTCCACAGACCCGATCATAGCGTTAGACACTCACTTTCGCCCTCTTTTTCGTGGAAGCACCCTTCACTAACTGGAGGAATTCGCTAGTGGAGGTTAATAACGCGTAGCCATATGAGAGCACTCGGAGAGGATGATCGAGACCACTCTACCATATCAGGGAAATCCTTAGGTGCGACCAGTTCAAGTCTTCATGTAGGCCCATACATTCATAATTAATGATCAGTCACATTTTGCTTTGATTTCGTGTCAGCCGCACTACAATCAAATTGAGTTAGGTCTCTCACATTATGTAGTAATTACTAAGTAGTGAAGTGACCTGTTCAGAGTGAGTAACTAACTTTCAACAATTGAATCATGTGTTTAAATGCCTTTGATCTTAATTTGCTTATGATTGGGAGATATTACTTTTAATTGTATTGTCCAAGATATTAATCTGCATGCAGTTAGTAAGCTACATCAGAACATACGGTTTCATATTTATTCTCAGCAGAACCTGAAAAAAATAATCACATTATTACCGCACCAACTTGAGTAAATTTAAATGAAATCACTATTATTGCAACAACTATTCAAAATGGTGTCTTATTTCAGCTTATAGGTTATTATAATTATTAATTGTCCCTTGCGTTCCCAGTGGAATATAGGGCTTCAGTAGCATATCTCCATTGGAATCTGTTCTCTGCAGTCTTTTTAACCTGGCTTCACGACTACCCAGAAGCTTTCATTTCTTCCTCACACCTCCTCCATGTCACCCTCAGCTGCGACGCCCAACTCGTCGTTTCCCCTTTGGGTTCCACTCGAGGATCTGGCCTGGTGCGTGATGTCCCCGAATGGTCTTATCAGTGTATGCCTAATCCAATCCATCTCCACTTTCTTCCACTGCATATTTATTGGGCGATGGGTTCTTGGTTGGTTCGTTGCCAGCTAGCCAGCCAGAGTTCCTTATTGCTTATTCTTTCCGGTCATCTAATCTGATCTTCAGTATCGAGTGGGCGTAGATGGCGGCTGCTCATGAATGTCTGTAGTTTGTTGAAAACGCTTTTCGTAACGCGCCAAGTCTCTTAACTATCATATAGAAGCACTGACTTGACTGAATTAGTGTTGAAAATCCGGATCTTGTTCATTACGCTGAGTGTAGTAGATATCCACACTGGTTTCAGACTAATGAAGGTCTGTCTTGCTGTCTTTCCGACCCTGGCTTTGACGTCCTCATCTGTGCCGCCGCCTGTAGTTGGAACGATGCTGGTTAGT